AAAAATAAACATGGGTAGGAGACCCAGTGCAAATCTAACAAGTGTCCAACGAGTGTGTGAAAGGTGAAAGATACCATCCCCGCTGGTAACATGGATGGTGGCTAAGTCGGGATGGAAACCGCCAGCTAGACGGAGACTATGCAAATACACTGTTGGTTTATCTAACTTCCTACAGGGACCTTTCCAAAGAGAAGGGGTCTGGACTGCAGCTGTGTGTGACCTCTCGGCCTGTGTGACTTCACAGGTCCACCCTGCATCCCAGTACTGGCACTCAGACCCAAGAGGAGCCCATGCGCTCCCGTGAGGAGGCTTCACACAGAGCGAGAGCTCCTCGGCACTGAGCAGGAAGAGCCGAGGACGCAGTCCACAGGCACAAGCCCAGGGGACACCAGACAAAGCCATCAGAACTTCAGCCAGCCAGCCCTGAGTGCCAGAGAAACATCTCGGCCAGAAAGCGCAGCCCCGCAGCAGAGAACCAGCCCCCTCCTCTCCTCCTTAGGAAGAAGGTGCAGTCTTTCCCAAATAGAGTCCCAGGATACCCATGGGGTACCCCAGGAGAAAGGACTTCTCTCTAACCACGCCAGCAGGAAGGTAGACAGCAACTTCACTATCGGATCTCCACACTGCGGGACACAGCATCCAAAGACCCACACCACCCTCTCCTCGTCTCTCGCAATACCCCATGAGTCCGCAGCAGCCCCCCACCCACCCCGCGCTCCCACCTGCAGTCAGACAGCAAAACCGCCCCGGAGACACGAGGCGGGCAGCCTCGGCCCAGGTGACCTCCACCTGGCCCTGCCCGGCCCAGCCTGCCCTGTGCTCTGCTGCCCCTCGGCTCTGTGCTGCTGCACGGGGACACGACCCGCCCTCTCCCCTCCTTCACGGGGGAGCCTCCCTCCTCGCCTTCTCCCAGGTGCCTCCATACCAGCCAGCGAGAACAGGGCCGATTTTCCACGGGGCTGGTGCACCACTGACCTCAGCAACTTTGCCCTTCCTGGAGTGAGGCCGGGGGAGAAAGAGGGACAGGCGCTCATCCCGTGCACACCTTGGGAGCCAGGGTTCAAGGAAGTCCCCCAGCAAGCCCTACCCGTTCTCTACTGCCAGGACAGGAGCTTTCCCGAGCCACGCCAGTCATCCTGGTTCTAGGTAGGACATGCTGGATGAACAAGCTCTGGGGGCTTCCACTGCAGGGCATCAAGGCCCACTCCCAGCCCTGACCTCAGGACTGCAGTGGGCAGTGCAATTTACCCTATACATGCCGTGGGCAGCAGAAGTGACAGCCAGAATATGGATGTCACTCAGTGAACGTGCCCTCCCTTGGCCCAGGGTGCTCTGTGGCCTTCTGCAGCTGGGGTCCCCTGTCCCAAACTCCAGCACAAAGCAGGCCACGGACAAGGCCTGGCATGGCCTCACTCCAGCACATGACAGGGCTGCCTTACCGTGGCTAACTCGTCAAACTTGCCGAAGAGCTCATTGAGCAGTTTCACCAGCTCCTGCGCCGTGCACTGGGACGCCAAGCCTGTGAAGCCTACGATGTCTGCAAACAGGATGCTGTGAGGGACAGAAAGACAGAGGATCCCTGAGGAATGATGACCCGGACTTGCAAACATCCCCACTCGCCAGCCCCGTTAGAATGCAGCATCTCACTACACAGCACAGGCTGGAGACAAAGGCTTTCTTGTTCTTGTCTCATAGGGAGAAGGCTGAGGGTCAGTGCACCCATAGGACGAGGACACTCCTCCTGGTCACCTAAGCCTCGCATAAGCCCCTGGGACATTCAGAGCCCTCGTCCAATGCAGACCCTTCACACTGCACAGGGAGATACAATCTGCTGTCGCTAGCCCTGCCCCCTTCCCAGAGGCCAGATGAGATGGCGGTGGCCAGGAGTACCGTGCAGAAGCAGCGAGCCTGTCCACACCATCTCCAGTGCTGGGTACTGATACCAGGCAAATGCCCTACCACTGAGCTACACTCCCAGCCCAAGATAGATCTTAAAATATTTTAAAATATGGTCTTGATCATTTATTCACCTTCATTCCAGGTGTTCTTGGCTCTTTAACCCTGAAACTTCCTAAGTCTAGACCCCCCAGCACTCCTCCAGGGAAATCGTAGACACCAAGTAACAGGAGGCCAGCACTGTATGGACAACAGAGGGTGTCACCCAGGAAGAGCCAACCCAGGAGGGACAAGAAGAAGCAGGGGCTTGGAGCTGGACCCTGGGGGACCGCCTGGTGTTACCAGCTACAACCGACGCACTCGGGTCACATGTCTAGTTCTTGCTCAGGCCCAACCCTTCCTCTGTAAGAGGAGAATAAAGTGAGCATCCATGTGGAGCCTACTGACAGCTTAGCCACTGTTCAGATTTGTGTACAAGGTTTATCATTCTCCTGCTCCTCCACTTGCTCATCTGCCAAGTGTTTCCAAGGGGTGGATGTGCTAGTGCTGTTCTGGACATCTGCGACTTTGCAGTGAAGAAAAGATTCAAATGCACATCACTGCCCTCAGGAGGTGTCTGCTCTATTCAAAGCAGGGGGACAGTTAATGTAAGTCAAAGGTGGCACATGCAACAGTCTGTCACTGAAGCAGAGGAGATGGATGTACCATTGTGTGTCCTGTTCCATAAAAGCGTGAGGTGACTTCTGCAAGACAGGAAGTGACAGGCACGTGGAAACCAGGATGACGGGGTCCCAGGAAGGCAGCAGGTACACAGACACCAGGACGACAGGATCCCAAGCAAGGGAACAGCGCGTACTGCTCCTGTGAGCTTGACCAGATACAGAATTCTTTTCCTTTTTTCTCAGCCTTTGAATACACTGTCCACTTCTGGCCTCCTGGGTTTCTGACAAGAAACCAGCCACTAGGGATAATGAAGCTGCTCATTAGTGTAGAGTTGTTTTATCTTGCTGCTGGAAAGGTGATCTCCGCACCTTCGAGTCTGTTTGGTGCACATGTGTCTTGCTGTGGGCTTCTTGGAGCTCATTCACCTTGGAGAGCTGTGAACTTCTTGGGTGTGGAAGTTAATGTTTTTGAAAAACAGGCCTTTGTGGCCCTCATTCCTCCTGACATTCCTCTGCTTCTTCCTCTCCCTCTCCTCTGGGACTTGATGGTGTCCCATGAGCTTTGGACTTCTCTTAATTTCTTTCACCCTTTTCTTCATTCCATTCTTCAGACTACAAAATCTCCATGAACTGATCTGCAAGTTCCCTGGTTCTTTTTCTGCCACTGCACTTGGCTGCTGAGCCCTCTAGCGGATTTTTTACTTCATTTATTGTACTTTCCAAATTTGGAGTTTCAGTTTCATTAATTGGTTCCTTAAATAATTTATGCTCTCCATTGATATTCTCTGTTTAATGAGAAGTTATCCTCAAGGTTTCTGGTGTAGTCATTTTCCTTGTCACTGGTCCAAAAGGCCCAACACCCCCAACTAAAGGGGGAGAGATTTATTTTGGCTCACGGTTTTAGAAGTTTCAGCCCATGTTTGGCTTAAACACAAAAAAGGCAAAGTGGAAAGGCCTGAGTGGAGGACAGCTGCTCACATCATGGAAGCCAGGAAGCAGAGAGAAAAGGGAGGAGGTGGGAAGGGAGATGAACTCTTCCAGGCCACGCCTCCAGTGACTCAGCTCTGCCAACCAGGTTCACTTCCTAACAGTCCACTCAGCTACAGCACCCACATCACCCAATCACCTTCCAAAAGCCCTGCCTCTGAGTGTGTGAGGCTACGGGGGAACATTCTAGATCCAGCCCACAACACTTTATTTTAATGATGTGGACACAGTTTGTTCTCTAAACACATTTAGAACAGCTGATTTAAAGTCTTTGCCCATGAAGTCCAATGTCTAAGCTTCCTCAGGAACAGACTATTCACTGCTCTCTGTCCTGAGTATTAGTCATATTTTTTTATTTTCCATCTCCAACACACTTCTATTGAGAACTGAATGATACTATGCAGCGACTCTAGAGAGCAGATCACCCCACACACACACTCCAGGGATCATGGTTGTTGCTCTTTAATTTTGATCTTGTCGGCTTCGTGACTTTTCTGAACTAATTCTGCCTACCCTTGGTCCTCTGAAATTCCCAGAATTACTTCCAGAGCCTTCAAAAGCACACTGGTACAGCTCACTCCCGAGCTTTTCTTTACATTTATTTGGTGATTCTGTGTGCCTAAACTGTCGCCAACACCCAAGGCAGCCATGAGGTTAAAACACTGGCATGGAGTGCTTCCCACAGGTGTTCTGTGCAAAGGCAGCCACACCAGGCTCTGAGTCAGGTCCAGAGAGGGCAAGTGTGATGAGCGGGGTTTTCCAGGGAAGTTCCAGACAGGCCAGACAATGATAACTCACTGTGAGCAGAGCTTTGAGATAGCACCAGCCCCACCCCAACCCGCTCCAGTGTGGGCCAGCTTACTGATGCTCACTGTGCTGATCACTGGTTTCCGAAGCTACCACAGAGCTGAGGGGACAGGAGGATGGGAATGGGGCAAGATAAAAAGCTCAATGTCCCTGGGGTGGTGCAAGACTTCAGTTCATTTCCAGAGTTCTGACAACTTCTTCCTGCACTGCTGGTGTGTCCTCGGAGGTGAGGGTTTTCAGACATACTTCGTCCACCACCCAGGTGACATCTGCCCACTATGGACTGTGAATGCCACATGGAGTTCAAACATCAGCCCCACTGCGCAAGAATCCAAGGAGGATGGTCACAAGTGCAAGAGATGCTCATATCTGGGATACAGGAAAAACATCTCAACAGCTTCTGACGGGTGGCCAAGGGGCAAGGCGGAGCCAACACCGTGAGCCACAGGGCAGAGAGTTTCCTTGGTGTCTCAGACCCTTGGGCCTGCACACAAAGCAGCATCCCAGCAGCTTTTGGGGACCAGGAAGCCAGCCAGGGAAGCGGGTGGATATTTTCAAGGAGAAAAATGTAGTAACTCCCCACACCTGCACTGTGTGTGTGTGTGCGCACGCACACTGAGGCAAGCTGAGGAAGGCACTTAGCCATCCACACACCAAGTCCAGCTGCAACCCCTGGAGACATCTTAAAACAATTCCTTTCTGGTAAGAACCCGAGATCAAGTCTCTTAATTTAAAAAAAAAAATGTATACTGTTATTATCCATTACTGGTGTAATCTTGTAGAACGATCTCTAGAGCTTACTCATCCAGTTTGAAACTTTTTGGCCCTTCATTAGTATCCTGCTCATGTCCCCCTCCCCTTCCCTGGAAGCCATAGGTCACCCACAAAAACTGAACTGCAAAACTCACTAGAGGTGAATAAAGAACTCAAGCAGAATAAAGGATCAATGACCTATGAATCCCTCAGCTTTAAATACCTCACAAAGGCAGAATCATGCAGTATTTGTTTCTTGGTGATGGGCTTATTTTACTTGGCTTATGCCCTCCACTTTTACTATATCGTCTTATATTACAGAATTTCCTACTTTTTAAAAGGTGAAAAGTATTCCATTTTATGTCTACGCTACCCTTTATTTCCTTGAAGGCTTTATGCAATATCACTGCGTGAAAACTGTGCATGTGGTGTACAACTTGATGCTTTGATATGCACGCCTCGTAAGCATATCATGAAGTGAGTATCACAATCAAGCGAATTACCATATCAATCATATTTGCATAGTCACCAGTCTCTGCAGAGTGAGAAGATTAAACTTAAGATTTATCCTCTTGGCAAATTTCAAGTACACATGACTGTTAACTCCCATCGCTGTATTGTACATTAGATCTCCAAACTTACGCAGTTGCATGACTAAAAGTAGGGTTAACCTAAACCTAACTCTAAACACTAAACCCTAACCCGAAACACTAAACCCTAAATACTAACTCCAACCATAACCCTAATCCAAAACCCCAAACCTAAACTATTCTCTCACCATCATTCCTCTGCTTTCTTCTCCCTTGGCTCTTGGCAAACAAGCTGTCTGGTTTTTTCTCACTTCTCCTTCAGCACCTCCCACACGGGGCATTTTGGGGATCTGTGGTCATTCCCTTAAGCTTTCTTCATTCTTTTCCATTGTTTTTTCTCCTGTTGATCCTCTTGACTGAATTATCTCTAGGGACCGATCTTCCAGCTCATTGATCCTTTATTCTGCTTGGATCCTTTATTCTCCTCTAGTAAGTTTTTTAGTTCAGTTGCTGTGGTCTTCAGCTCTATGATTTCTGTCATTTGTGTACATTTTCTACTGCTTTGTTGAAGCTCTCTTTGTTCGTGAATCATTCTTCTGAAGCAGCAAGAACTTTTTGAGAGTTTCTTTTAATTCTCCGTCAAGGCATCCAACTAAGTGTGTGTCACTGGGGTCTGTTTCTGGAGATTCATCATATGCCTTTGTCTGCAGCATCTCAGCGTGGTTCTTTGTTTTCCTTGACTCTCTGTTGATGTCTGCAGAGTGCAGACAGCAGGAACCGTACCCAGGCGTCAGAGTCTGCTGCAAGCAGGGGAGGTGCCCAGTAACCACCCCAGCCAGAGATTCTGGGCCTTTACCAACTGTCTCTCCCCAGGCAAGAGCAGACAGCTCTGGTTTCTGTCTGCCCAGTCTGTGCTGGGCACTGAGGTGAAGGCTATGGCAGCTCTCAGCACACACTCCTCAGAAATCCAGGACTGGAGAGATAGATCTCACTCTTCGGGCAGCCCCAGGGAAGCTGAAGAACTGGTCACACTGACCAGGCTTCCCCTCCCAGGCAGAAGTGAAGCTGGGATTTTTCATCTTCTCACTCTGTGCTGAGCTGGGGGAAGTCACTGGTGTCTACCTGCTCATGTCACCAGGAGGCCCCTGAGTCCAACGTGCTCCTGAAGTGTGCAGAGGTTCCAGCGCACTCAAGGTCCTCCCTGGACCACACTGGTGGTCCGTTCTCAGCAGAGAGCAGGGTCACTATGCCATGTCCTTACCCAGTAACAAGACGCAGGAGGTGTGTGGAGACAAGGTAAATGCTAGTGTCACCCGGTCCTAGTCCTAGGTCCAGCCTCAGCCCTGAGTCACTGGCCAGGGAATCCTGCACACAAGATTCACCAGAAAAGTCCTCCGGGCCCTCAGTTACAGAATGGAGGAGGTAATGCTGACGAGGCATTACCACCGCCACGCCAGTCAGAACTGAGTATTTAGCAAAGAGGTTCTGAGCACTACTTCTGGAGCCACCCCAGGCTTGAATGCTGCTCTTCTGCTCCCTCCCAAACACCCAGGCCCGCACCCCACACACTTCAGCATCCTTCTCTGCAGGAGGATGACAATGGTTTCCACAGCAGCATGACAGCGGGGAGGAAAAGTTCATGCATAAGCTCAGGGCAATCCCTATGGGCTCCCAGCCAGGGCCATTACCCATACTGGCTCAGCACACGGGGGTCTACTCATGCGCTGATGGCCCACAAACCTCAGTTCACTTCTGATGCACAGTTCCAGCTCACAGGAGCCCAGCCTGTGGTACTAGGCGTAGGACAGGTCTTTCTTATTCTTTTGCGTCTCCAGGGCCTCAGTGCCAGGGAGACCTGACACCCTCCACCAAGCCAGCAAAGAAACGTGCCCGGGGTCTACCCACACCATCCCTTGTCTTGGTGACAGTCATGCATAGGCAGTCCCAAGCAGCTGGCTCTCAAGTATTCTAAGCATGTTACACTTCACCACGCACTATTTTAAAAAATATATGTATGATGTAATAAGATAAATACTTCTAACAGAATTTTAAAATCAGAAATGCAAACCCACAGAGTGTCTCCAGCAAGTTAGTTCATGCTGAGGATTCAGCGGCCCCACCCATAAAATGGAGACAACAGTCCCTGCCTCTTCGGGCTGTCACGAGATGAAAAGGGTACGGAAGAAGGGCAGGCCCATCCCAGAGCTGGGAGCAACGAACATGAGCTTAACAGTTACTCAGACATGGGCAAATCCCCACCCAACACACTTTAGAGACAGAGTTCTGACCCTCTGTAGTCAACAGAGGCAGTGCAAGGGCACTGCAGTAGGAAATGGGAACAAGAATGACAGGATGTGTCACCTAAAAAGCCACAGCTCCTCCGTAGGGACCAGCTTCCCTGCCAGGTAACTGCTCACCTGGGCATTCTGACCATACTTGCCCTCTCCTCCCGAACTACTGTGATCTCCCACACACACCCTGCCTGCCCCACCCCCTGTCCACGTCCATCATTATCCCACTCCCTCCCCACCTCCATCACTCCCTTTTTAGCCCCATCACTCCTCCACCTCCATCACCCGCCTCCACCATCCCCTCCCAGCTCCCCCAATGCATCTACACTACAGCCCCCAGCCCACTTCTAGGCCAGATCTCTGCCAGCCCTACCTCACATTGTCGTGCCTCTGGATGTAAATCTTGTGGAAAATCCTCTCAGGGGGCTTGAGGAAGTCCTCCTTCATCTCCATGGCAACATTCCGGGGCAGGAGGCTCATGAGCAGCCGCTCCTGTTTGGGAGAGGAGGCCACATGAGGTAGCAGGATCACTCTTCTCCCTTGCAGCAACCCTCCTGGATGAGGGCAGGAGGGAGAGCTGGCTCTGGCCAGGGCCCACAGACCCCCTTGGGCGCAGTGAACCACACCCAGGCCTGCGGACCCTGCCCAGGGCCCAGACCTGGACCACACTGAGCAGGGAGCCAGCTCACGCCAGGGGTACTGGCTGGATGGGCTGGCTGAGTCTCTGTAGAGCAGGGACACAGATGCACAAATGCCACCATCTCCCACCAGGGCCCCGCCTGGGCCCACTCCACCCAGCACTGAGGCCATCAGCCCCCTGCCTGGCTGGACATGGCCTCCAAAAGGGGCCCCGGGGGCAGCCCACCACACTGGGTTGGGAACCTGTCCCTGTGCTTATCAGCAACCCTGGCCTCTGGATAATTTTACAGACTTGCCCAAAACTATTGGCCAGGTGGGGAAACTGAGGCAAAGCCACTAGAAAGGCCCCAAGGCAGTATATGGACAGGTAAGTTAGGTAGAAATATTATAGGCAGTCAGTCGGGGCTAGGCCCTCGAAGGAGTCAGTGCAGAAGATGAGGACACACTACAACTGTGGCTGGAGGTGCACTCGTTGAAGGCCAGGCCTCAAGACAAAGATGGAATGACCACACCTGCATACGTCCCTGAGGGATCAGTCACCCAAGTGGGTGACCAGGACCTACAGACGCATCTCTTCCTGAAAGGTCCTTGTTCTTTCCATGTACACTTGCTGCGTGACCCGCTTCCCCACTGGATCAACATTACCTAAGCGGCTGTACTCGTAATCTTATTGGTTGACCACAGTTTTGTCCCACCTTATGCCCACCTTGTGATTTCGCTCTATACACTTCCTTTGAGAAGTGGGCCCAGGGGCAACACACCTGCGCCTCTCAGGCAGGAGCTGGCTTTCCCTCAATAATTATTTCCTGCTCTTAACCTCCGTTGCTCCTTCCAACTCATTCTTCAATTTTGGGGAACACACACTTGGCATATCAGATACGTAGCCGGCTGGGAATTATAATATTTCCCCTGTATCATTTGGATGTCCTGATGTCATTCCTACAGCAGCAGCATAGGGCCGGGTCTGTGCTTTCCGGGGTCTTAGGGAGAACCCGTGGGCTCCTCCGGTGACCAGCCAGGCACAGCCCTGGGCAGGGCCCTCAGAGACCCACAGGGGCCATGAGGCAGTGTCCCCATCCCAGACAGTGGGACCCACCTGGCCGCCGCAGCCACTGTGCAGCCACTGCTCCAGCAGGGAGGCCTGGGGCTCCTGGTCGCCACTGCCTGCCGCCCTGTGCAGGGTGTGTGAGGACAGGGGACACGGAGCCACAGGCAAGGGGCTGGATGTCCAGACAGAAGGACCCTGACCTCCAGGACAGAGGCATCTGGGCCACCAGGCCACGGGGTTGATCCCAAGGGAAGGAAGGAAGGGCTGGGCACAAGGGCCACTGTGGCACAGGCACTGAGAGGTAGCCACAGCGATCGGGGGCCGTGATGCAGATGTCCCCTCCACTGCAGGCCCCCCGGGAAACACCGTGTTTTTATCAGGGACCTTGGCGGTCTAGAAAGAACACCATGTCTTCCAGCTTCCCATGCAGCTCCTGTAGCCAAGGACAAACGAGACCAAGGCCGTGCAGGAGCACCATGGTTTGGACAGGAGCCAAGGAGTGGTCTGCTTCGCCCCAGCACACACTCCTGCCAGGGTGCACTGCCAACCGGTCAGAGACCAGAACTTCCAAAATTGTGAGCCCAAATAGACCTTTTCTCTTCGTAAGTTACCTCGGTATTTCATGACAGTGACGGAAAGCTGACCAACACAGGGCACTTCCGGGATATCCTTAAAGCTTCTTTTACCCTTCTCCCATGCCATGGCTCGGAATACAACTGCAATGGCTGTATCTCTAGCTACCATCTTGGCTCACAAGGAGGAAGGCTTCACACTAGGGACCTAGGAAAGGAACTCAAGAAAAGACCGGCTTGCTATGGGATTCCTGGATCAGGCCTCCCACGGCACCAGAAGATGCTTGCCCGGGGATGTGTGTATGAGAGCTGTTTCACTTCTTTAAGTCTCTTCCCTGAGAAGTTTCTGACAGCTGCCTGTTCTTCCCACTGAGGTCCCAGCATGAGCTCCCTCCCTTAGATTAGCAACAATGCCCAAAGCCACCACCTGCTGATAAGCAAGACTAAAGCACAAACCTTTTGTCCACTGGACGCAAAGGGCCATCTGATAAGATCCAGCACTACTTCCTGATTTAAAGCAAAGCAACCTGATACAAAGTAGCTCATTTGCATAATACAGATGTTACCTGATTACTCTCCAGTCTCCAACCTGGCTTCAAAGCCCTAAATGCAATAAGTAGTAACATCGGGAACAGACGATGGTGCCGATAAGTTCTAATCAGCAAAATAAGACACACAGCCAGAAATCAGAGGGGAACTGACCGTGGATCATACCAAGGATCGCCTTGTCCCGAGAAGGCAATATTAAAACCTTAATGCTCTTATCTGGACGATCAAAGTGTGACTCAATAAATGTGCCAGGCTTAATACAAATGAGATATCTGAACGAGGACTGCACAGGCAGGGCTTCCGGGAGGATGGGGCTGCGCCATCCTCCCAGCCCCACCCAAATCCCAGAGGCTCCAGTCAGAATCAAGATACTGAACGGCAGCGACCTGGGTCCAAGAAAGGACACGGAAGTGGCTTCCCTGAGCTTCCGGTCCGTACCCCACCCCCACCCACACCAGCAAAAACCAAGTTACCAGGCTAGAACTCCACCCTCCCTTCTGACACTGGGTGGAATCACAGAAGGCCACAGAGGGAGCCAGGCCTGTCACTTCCACCTGCTGGTTACAAGCACCCTTCCCACCCTGTGGGGTCAGTGGGGACCACAGGACTGCCCTGCTCCTCCTGTGCTGAGTGCCTCACTCCTGCCCAGCAATAAGGAGGGGGTCAGTGGAGGTCCAGCGTGGAGCCTGGACTCCCATCCCCCCTGGCAGTAAAGAGACTATGGGTCCCTGTCCCCTGCCAGAGTAATGTCACAGAAAACCAGCCCAGCCATGCACAGCGGTACACTCCTGGGAAGCTGAGGCAGAAGGACCAAAAGTTTCAGCCCAGCCTGGCCAATTGAGCAAATTAATGAGGTCCCATGTAATAAAAAATAAAAAAGGAGCCAGAGTGGTGGTGCACATGTGTAATTGCAGCACTCTAGGAGCCTGAAGCAAGGAGATCACAAGTTCAAGCACAGCCTGAACAATTAAGCAACTTAGTGAGACCCTGCCTCAAACTGTAAAAAAATTTAAAGGGGGAGAGTAGTCTGGGAATACAGCTCAGTGAAAGGCCTAGGATTTGAGTCCCAGCCCTGAGAGAGAGAGAGAAAGAGCGAGAAGGAGGGGAAGGGGGACGGGGAGAGGAAGAGAGAGATGATAGATAGATAGATACATACATACATACATATATACATACATACATACACACATAGGCAAGTTGCAGACGCAGCTCAGCATGAAGGCCCTGGATTCAATCCCTAGAATCATGAAAGAAGAGAGGGAAGGAGGGAGGGAGGGAAAAAAACAGCCCAAACACAAGATGTGAACAAGAAACACAGCCTCACACAGCACCTGCCAGATGCCCAGGTTCCAATAAACAAATACTCCTCGTCACACTGACAGCTCTAAGGCGCTCAGTGGCTGAGCAAAGACAAGCACACAGAGCGGCCAGGAAAATGACAAAGACCTCAAAGCAGCCATCATCGGCGATTCAGTGAAGAACTAAGACACACCCAACAATGAACATAGATTGTAAGATCCCTGAAGGAGATGCCAGCAATTCAACCACGCACAGGAACAGCATATCCTCCCGAATGGGTTTACCCCAAGGACACAGTGCAGCTGGTTCAATGTTGAATATCAATGCTACAGAGCACAGCTTAGGTAAAGAGTAAGAATTACAGGGCAATGCACGCTGACAAAGAATGTAACAAAAGACACATCTATTCTTGATGAAAACTTTCAGGGAAAGGGGAATGGAGAATTCCCTCAACTTGATAAAGAACACCCCAAGAAGCCTACATCTAGCGTCAGTCCGAATGGTAGGGTGCTGGATTTTGCCTAGAGCATGACCAGGACATCGGTGCTGTCACTCGTGCTCAGCGTCACACTGGAAGGACAGGGACTGGAAAGAAGAAGTAAGTTACATGCTGGTCTACACAGGAAACACGAAGGTCGTTACAAAAGCAAAAACAAAGCAAAGCCTAACTACACCCAGAACAAATAACTGAGTTAAAAAACCACAGGATACAAAATCAGCACACAAAACTCAGCTGCATTTCTATAGGCTAACAATGAACGTAGAGAAACTGATGCTAAAAATACTGTACATGCTATGCAATTTACCACAGTTCAGAAAACTGAAATACCTGGGTACAGATTTAACAAAACAAGTATACAATTTGTATACCAAAGACTACAAAACGCTGATTAAAGAGATCAGAAAAAAAATCCAAATAAATGGAGGGACATACTTTCATGGATCAGAAGAGTCAGTATAATAAAGATGCAAATTCTCTCCAAATAGATATATACAATTTAACACAAGTTCTATCACTATCCCAGCAGTATCTCTAGTAGATGTAGACATATATATTCTAAAATTTACATGGAAAGAAAAGGAATAAGAAGGGCTGACATTTTTTTTAAAAAAAGACCAACAATGTGGAAAGAACCATTCTAGTCAGTCTTAAAAGTCTGTATTATTTTACAAAGCAATAATCAAGACTATGTGTATTGGTAAAAGGATAAACACACAAAACATTGAAATCTGTCCCACTGTCTAAAACCCAGAATAATACCCACATAAATATGTCCAACTGGCTTTTGTCAAATGCCCAAGAGTCACTCAGTGCAGAAAGGATTGTCTTTCCAACAAATACTAGAGCAACGGAATATCCACAGCCATAAAAATAAACCCTGACT